GCAGGTATGTTAAAATAAAAAAAAAATAGCAATAGCAGTGACTAGTCAGAACTGCATGAAACACTTGACAGGAGTTTCATGATATCCAACAGGCAAGCAGTTTCCTAGGCACCAGCTGCTCAGTGAGACGTAGTAGGTCAGCATTATAAGGCTAAAGCATCAGCTTTAATTAAATCTAATTTCCTAGTCTTAAATCAGGAGTTAAAACTGATTATATTGCTTTCATTTTCTTGGAAGCCTAAAAAAACCATGTCCTAAATACTCATTAATTCAACCATAAAGATTTGCAGTTTAGGATACCTTCTACATCTACTTTTGTATTTCAAAGCAGTTCTTACGAACATTACAGACTGATTTAATGTGAATTGCTCTAGTAAAATGTGTGCAGAAATGACTGGCAGAACATAAACATTCATAAGACATAGATATAAAAGAAAAAGTGGACCTATTGTACCCAGATTATAATTCTGAAAATGAGGGCATGATATTAAATTACCCAAAGGAAGAACAGGAGAGAAAGTGACCTCCCAGAATATGAAGGTGGTAGAAAATGCTAATAAATTGCTCATCTCAGTTTAATAATTTAATATGAACTGCATAAAGTAGAAAGGCCACTTAGGAAGGCACACAAAGCATTTTTAGCTATCAGTATTCAATGCTAGTAATGAGAAAATTAAAGACAGCGCAAACTAGCAGCACTTCTCCAAGTAGTGAGGAATCCACAGGTAAGATCCACATTTGTACTCCATGGCCTTAGAGAAGTCTGAAGAGCAGAAATGATATCTAGCAACAAATTTCACAGTCTCTTTCCTCTCCTTGTAAAATTCTGTTTGGTTTCAAGCGGACATTATTAATGCAAACTCCCAAAATTTTGCTTTGCTCTAAAGAAGCAAACAAATCAATAAATTATATGTGGAAAACAGCACAGAGGGAAGGAAGGGGAATTTGAGAGAGGACATTAATAGGTATCTTGAAAAGCAGGTATAACACATAAAGACTATAGGCTTAGATTATATGATTAAAGGCTTAGATTATATGCTTAAAGGCTTCTAATGGACTTACTTTGGGAATATAATACGCCTTTCTTTTACTAGTTTGGCACTCTTAAAACAGCAACAAACTATATCAAACCTGAGAAGTCCTGCTTTTGCAGACCTGTTCTGACAAAATAGTGCAAGGAAACTGTCCTGTCATCTAATCTATGAGTAAGGCCCATGATCAGTGAAAACATTCCTAAATGAGGGTGTTAATGTGCTATTCTCCTCCAGCTTTGACTCAGAAAGTTGGCTTTTGGTTGTTGGCTTTTAAGTGTCATGTGGAATTCTAAAGACAGAAGCCCAGGAACTAACAAGGAGAACCAAATAACCGCGTCATTTCCCCTCCCCTTTTAGCATGGGGAAACAGAAAAGAAGCAGAACCAGTACCACCATACAGAAGCAACTGGGTAGTTATTACTAGTTTCAAAGAGTTTAGATAGGGTGATACTAAAAATCTACAGTGATAACTTACAGTTCCTTTCCTTGAAATTCACAGTAAACGAGGAATCATTCTTTTAGGAGTTATCTGCCCATCCTTCCACATAAGGGGCTAACACAGGAAAAGTCAAATATTTATGGAACCAAGATGCAATCCTTACATCTACCAAACTGGAAATTAGATTCAAAGATAGAACGCTATTTGAAAATTGTTAATTATATTTCAGAAATCTGTAGTTCTCTGTTTTCTGTTGTGAAAAATTCTGCATTCCTTGGTATCTCACTTTTTTTCCTATGGTTACAGCTGGAAACTAAAACAAGAAAATTGAATCAAATATGGACACCTTAGAGCAGCCTTCCAGTACCTGAAGAGAGGCTACAAGAGAGCTGGAGAGGGACTTTGTAAAAAGGCATGTAGTGACAGGACAAGGAGGAAATGGCTTTAAACTGGAATAGGAAAGGTTTAGATTAGATATCGGATAAAAATTCTTTACTATGAGGGTGGTGAGGCCCTGGAACAGTTTGCCCAGAGCAGTTGTGGATGCCTCATCCCTGGCAATGTTCAAGGCCAGGTTGGATGGGGCTTTGAACAACCAGGTCTAGTGGGAGGTGTTGGAATTAGATGAGGTTTAAGGCTTTTCCAACCCAAGTCACCTCTAAGTGGAAACAGACTAGGTTTGTGCAACTAAGGTGGCACCCAGGTATGGGATAGGCATTTAAAATACAGATTTAGAAGAACTGACAGTCACTGCTTTGATTAAAGGAACTTGGAATCATATAGATCAAGTAGGCAGACTGCAGCCATGCATCTAGCATAAGAAAGAACAGAGATACAGATTCAGGGAACAAACTACCAGATGATTCCTCAAGGAACATAATGACTTTTCTAAATGCTCAGAAATTCCTCTTATCCAAACATCACCAAATAGCAATCTGAAGAAAAAGAAAAACTAAAACCCAACCACAGTAGGAATACAGGTCCTTCTTTAATTACAGGTTTCTGCAAAGAGACCGGTAGTAATACCTCCTGTAATTTTTATAAACATTCAAGAGAAAGAAGAGCTTTGTGCTTATCTTTTAAAAGCAGTGCAGGGAAAAGGGGGAGAAGAGCAGAAAGAAGCGCTGCAGAAATCTGCCAGCAAATATACAGGAAGATGCACATTCATAAGTTTAAACAAGGACTCTCTAAAGAATTGACTGCAGCTGTACATAAAACACCCGCAAAACTCAAGAGACAATTGAACTCCAACTTAAGAATTTCCACTTACTTCATATTCCTTCAAGAAACTTAGAATTCTAACAGGCCCACAAAGGCGTAAAAAGGCACTGGAGAACTACAAATCTTAAATTTCATTATAACCTTGGAGGACAAGCTGTTCTTACATAGCTCCACTAAATGGTTAGAAGGGAGAGATTTTGAGAACTACCTTAAAAAGAGATTTTCTCCTCACTTCCTAGAGTGAAAAATTTGCTATTACCTCTGCAAACATCTTCTGTTTTTAAACTTGAGTAATAGTTTCGAGCAGACTACTAGGACTACAAAGCAACTGTGAGGCAGTCTGCCTTTCTACAGAAAATTATCCTGCATTATTTAAGATTTGGCAGTTAAATACAGAAAGTAAGTTGTATTTCTCTGTGCAGTTAAACTTAGATCAAAAAACATTCTTCTTTTTTCTAAGGGAACCTAAAGCATACACACTTGTGGTTAATTTTTTAATTTTTTACTTGCTGGGTTCATGCTTTGCCCACTTGGGCAACTTGAGCAATAACTTGGCTGTTATTTGTGCAAAACTCTGTAGGAATTTCAGTTATTTTTCTCAAATATGCAGAAAAATGTAGCTGGACGGAACCAAACTTCCAAAAAAAGAAACAGAAGATATTCAAAGAGATTAGATACAGATTTTAAAAATACTTAAGGTTCCTTTTGAACAATGCAAGTTATGACATCACTTCTGAGTGTCTGTCCACAGAAAAATGCTCAGATTGACAGCCCCATAAGACAGATCTAAGATCTGTTCCAAGATCCATGGTGATGAGAAGTATCTTCTCATTACTTCATACTTCTACTGTCTCTTTGTATTCATGCTTAATTATATGCTGCTACTTTGGTCTGTGTTTGGTCCAGCCATCTGTGAGAGTCTATTCTTTTCCTGCCAAGTTATGAGAAAACAAGCACTGATAAATGGGAACTTTGTCTTTGAAGGAAGCATTTTGTATAAACTATAATTAATTGGTACCTCACTATTGGCTGATGGCCCTTCAAGGGCATTTGACGGAGAAAGTGAAGAGGAGGAGGACAAAGTAAGCTGCATTTTCATTTAGGAAAGACCCCCCGAGGTGTAGCACGCAGGCACAGGGAAATTCCAAGGTACCCACGCATGCGCAGAAGAGATGCCACCTGGATAACGGAGGGAGGGACCAAAGGCCTCTTAGCTGGGCGGTGCTGACCACACCTGCCCAGGTAGATGTCACCACTTAATTGTATAAAAAGCAGATAGCTTGTGCTGGGAGTGGAACTCAAGCTTCACACTGAAGGACCATGTTGCCTTTTGCGGGGATGGCCACCATCCTGTGAGCCTGCCGACACTCCAAGAACGCAGCTGCTGCTATGGGCAGCAGGGGGTTGGTAAGAGAAGCTTCGTACGCAACACCTGAGTGAGTGGGGGGTTGTACTGAGGGCTTATTTTCCTCCTCCTTCCTCTCTCTCAGGTTCTTGTTTTGTTGGCCACCTCTTGGTAATAAATATTGTTCTTGTTGAGCTTTCAACGGTGTATGGTTTCAGTTTCAGCATCCTCCCTGCTACACTCTTACAGAAGAATCCACTTCCTCTAATAAAATAAAAGTCTTACATTCACATTATAGTTCTCTGCAACTTATTTTAACACACAAAATTACTGAGGCAGTTCCAAATACCATTCATTCACAAAGTAGTGAAGTGGGCAGGGAAGCTATGATAATTATCATAATCACCTTAGATACCTCAGGAGAGAATGTTAAAAAATAACTATTCAAAACTGGTAATTTATTAGGACAAAATGGGACAAAGAGCCTACACATTCATTTAAGTTATACATGAGCATTCCACTTAATCGAGTAAAAAAAAAAAAATCATACCATCAGTAAATTGATATTGTTAAACCTGTCTAATAGTTAAAAATCTTTAAATTTGAAACAAAAAACAGACAGTGAAAACAAACTCAAGACTTCTAAGAAGTGGAAATATCTATGTCTATGCATTTGGAGACACCTTTATAAACCAGGTAGAGGAAACTGGAAGTCTAGTGTTTTCCTACAGATAAACTAAAGAAGTAGCTTACCCCTTAGTTTCTCCTAATTTAATCTGTCACAAATACCATCACAGCCATATGTGAGTAAATAAGCAGTGTTTCATTGTAATTTTCACTCAAAAAAGGAGAGCCAAATAATGCAGCATATATGTCTGCAAAGACAAACAAAAAACAACTCCAAGATTTTTTTTTTAAATACAAGCACACAGTACAAGTAAAAAAGAAAGCTGAAGACAAATTGATATAAAAATCAGTATTTATGTAAAAAAATAATGCACTGCATACTGTAAAATCAGTCAGTCACAGTATTCACCTTCACACAGATTTCTCCATTTTCAGTCTTCAAAAGGTTACACAGCAAGGAAAAGAGATCTACATGCAAGGCAGACTGCTTCCTAGTTTTCATCCCAGAAATTTACACCCTGAGCCCGCAGGGAGATTAGAAACAGAATATAAACTCTGCTTATAGTGTAGTGCGTTTTTGTACTGCTAAAGCATTTGCTCAACTCACATGAATCTGGAAATCAGAGGCATCCTACTTTTGACATGGAAACAGCCACAAAAATTAAGCTTCTAAAATGGGGTTGGGATGAAGGTGCAAGTCAGTGAGTGGATCCTCCATGTTCAACACACAGGAACTTTTCTGGAATCCAAAACCTCACTTTATGAAGACTTCATCTCACTTAGACAGGTTATCTAAGTTCAAATATACTTTACAAATACATTTTATACCATGTAAGCTTAAATATTTTACTGTAACACTAGAGTTCTGCCCTTTTCTTCATCATTTTCTCTGGGGAAAAAGTTTGTATTGCATAAACAGTACTTCTTTTTTTCACTAAGACAGTTGAAGAAAGCCTAATCCTTACCTGTTGCAAATCACTATCACCCTATTGACAGTAATGCATTCATTGCATTGAGAGTCTGCCCCAAAGCTATTTTAAAGCCATGTTATTTAAAAATATATGGTAACAGGATATATTCTCTAAGAAACCTATCTACTACACAGTCTGATGAAGCATCAGAACTCTTACTACAGCTCTTCACTTTTAGGTCCTACATACTCTATAACAATCATCAGGTAATAATTCCTAGTATGGAAATACAACAGCAACAGATTTCCACTGTTGGGTTTTTCTTGGCTTCCCAAATGCCCTATTAAAGCTGCAAAACCATGAATTTTTTAAAAAGTATCATAAGACAAGCAACTTCAAAATGAATTTTTACTTAAAACCCCCTCAACTCTGCTCTACCTTTTAGAGCTAACGGCTCTACAATGTTCAAAAAAATGTTTTTTAATATAAAGTCTCCGTATTTACCAATGGAGAAAACTAGTATCACATACTAGTTATCAGCTTCCCAGAAAATCCTATTTATAGCGTGCAGTTCACATCTGAGATAAACAAGATTGTCAAAACAGTACTTCAACATGTAAGAGATGAACACGTAAAGGCACATACAGATTGTCAATAATTACAACCCATTTTGTTGAAAACAGAGTATTTTCTGCACTTGTAAACAACTTTGTTTACATAAAGGCTCGCACCTTTAAAGTGAGGTTAGTGCTGCTGACTCAGTTATTGCTACATTCACAGTTTTAATATAATTTTAGACAATATATGAGGTACACTCTCAAACAGAACCATCTTCATTTCTTCCTTGTTTGTTTGATCATTAGATAACTGAATTATGGTCAGACTAAAAGTACTGACCATAGAAGCCAGTAACACCCAAATCATCAGAACCAAGATAAACATTAGCAGTGATTAAGCTTCAAAAGAGCAAAAAGTCACCTCTGCAGAAAAAAGTTCCTGTTCTTCATTATGTGAATATTTTCTTCATTTTTATGTATGCTAGTAAACTTCTGTCTGGGCACATTAAGAGCCCATTCAAGCTGTATTAAAATTCTTGCATCTTTTGACCAGTATATTAATTCAGTCTCTTGATATAACAGCTAGGAGTCAAAAGTCACCTTCCCTTTGATCTTCTGGCATACAAGTCTTTTATGCTTTTTGTTAGTTGTTTTATGAATACTTTGTAAACTCTTCCACAGTATGTATGCATGGTTTTCTGTAATTCCAGTTCTAGGGGCTGCAGCAGTGAGTGAACCAGATCATCTCCAAATGAATACTGTAAAGAGGTTAAGAAAAGAAAATTTAAGGTCAATACGGAAGATTGTCACTGTTCAGAGGATTAGAGTTTTATAAAAATGTTTCTGAGCATCGTATTTGTTTTCTGTAGGTTTATTAAATGTTTTCAAGCATTCAGAGCGCTTCTGAATGCAATAATTGCAAAACACCTCCAAAGTATAGAAATATTCTCTAGTGCTTTCAATAAGCATAACATGGAAGACTTTATTATTTTTAAATGTAAGCAAATGAACATATTCAGATAGTCTAGGAAGAAATTTAAAATTACCTTTCAAATTAAAAATTTTCAGATCTAAAATGATTTCTGGTTATTTTTCTGGTTCTATGGTAACTTTCTCAAATGGCATATAACCTTTAAGTAACGTAATTCTTATCAAATTATAACGAAAGCAGTATGAAAAGTGATAGATCTGAAGTTTCATTAAACTGAATGATGGACAAACACATACTATGTTTAACATAGGTATGAAATAAAGCAGTCATTAATTCAACAGTGCTATATTTTTATAAACAAATTATAAGTTAAAACAGCACATTGAAGTAACATAATTTTGTTCATTGTATTACCATTGAATCAGCAGTGTTTTACATACTTTCTCTGACATGTTCATATACCAAATGGGATCATATATAACAGGAAATAATTTTTTCTTCTGTTTTTGACAATACTCAAAGGAAACAAAGAAAACATATTTTTATGGAAACACAATCACTTTCCCTGCAATGTATTCTCAGACCCCCAGAAGTACTTTTCTTCGGTTTTATATCTATATGACAACATGTAATAAAGCAACATTAAAATATACTATTGATTTTTGTAGGTTATACACACACAATAGCCTGTTACATTAAAATGTGCATCAGTGCTAAATTTTATGGCTCTTCAGTGAGTATACTGATGCAGCGATAAATAGTTTATTAGATGACTTATTTGCAGAATGAAAAGACGTCACTGTGCTCAGTATTTAGAGGAACAACAACATATTTATACACTGAATCTCTAGAAAAGGTCAAACACGGTATATAAAAAGTTTTTTACAATCCAAATCTAGACACAAATATTAAAATGTTGCAATAAATACTTACGAACTTTGGGAATATGAGGTTTTTCCTGCATTTTAAAATATCCAGAAAAATAAAGCTTCTGGTGATGGCTTGTTCAGCCTGGAGAAAAGGAGGCTGGGGAGAGACCTCATCGCGGTCTACATGTTCCTCACAAGAGGAAGATGGGGAGCAGACACTGATCTCTTCCCTGTAGTGACCAGGGACAGGACCCAAGGGAATGTCCTGAAGTTGTATCAGGAAAGGTTTGGGTTGAATATTAGGAAAAGGTTCTTCACCCAGAGAGTGGTTGGGCACTGGAACAGACTCCCCAGGGAAGTGGTCACAGCACCAAGCCTGACAGAGTTCAAGAAGCATTTGGACAGTGCTCTCAGGCACATGGTGTGACTCTTGGGAATGATCCTTCGCAGAGCCAGGAGTTGGACTTCAGTGATCCTTGCGGGTCCCTTCCAGTTCAGATATTCTATGATCTCCAAATGTTCATGTAAGAAGTTTACCAGACAATTCATTAAATGAATGAGAATACAGCCTTTTAAATAAGCACTGACACCTATGGGCAATGCTTTAAAATCCTAACTTAAACACAGTCTGCACTATGTTTCCAAAGATGCTCATCACAACAGGAGTATACTGGAACTCCATCCAAATAATAAAGAAGAAACCGATGAAACAAAGTTGCTTAAAAGAGAAAAAAATTACTTTGTTGCAATTAAGGTGAGTATCAAACAAAATACATGCAGCACTACAGATAAAAATACTTTAAAAAACGAGTACAATGCTGAAAATACTTACATTTTTTATTGCTTCATAGACAGCCCTAAAAGTTGGTTGTTTATCATCGTGGTACACACCTCTGTTTCCATGAAGAATAAATATACCTTCTTCTTCAGCTGCCTTACAATTGCTTCCATAGATGCAGTGGTCAGGTCGATAATTCCATTGGCAAGGAAAGACATAAAGACTTTCTGTGTGGAAAAATGAGATCTCTGGATTAAGTATCAAAATTGTCTCAGGAAATATACTAATCTATTTTTTTCTTAAGGCTGCTTCATAGATTTCTGTACAGTTGTTTTGAAATCTAACAGTTCATTGCACTCTAACAAGCTCCAGTGTTGTATCTCAATGTAAACTCTAGAAGTAAATACTTTCAGAGAACAAAAGGAGCACATGGTTCCTTGAATGCTTTCACAGAAAAGTCTGCTAAAAGAGTATTTTCCTAGATTTTTAAACATCATGGAAAAGATCAGCTTTCTACTGTTAGACTTAAAATCAACGTGGATTTACCTGGATTGTGAAAAAACATAATGTTCAATAGATCCTGATCACCCCATGTTATGTTCAACTTGTATTTCTTCAGCAGTGGCATAAGAATTTCTCCCCACTGTAACCGGACTGGTGTCATATCATTCTATGAAGCAAAAGGCAAAACAACACACATTCAAGAAAATTATACCTATAATATATAAGGAAATGCCTTACACAATCACAGTAATTTGCATTTCAAAGTTACAACTCAAATGTATAGATGATTTCTTCCTTTTAAACCAACAAACCCATCTAAGGAAAATAGTTATGGACACTTCCAATATGCTTTATTTCTCAATTATTAACTTAGAAGGAAAATTTGATGCATTTCCTACTTCTATTACATTAGATTTTTGTCTTCAAGATTTTCTTCAAACATCTTAAGCCAAGAGTTCTAAGAAATGGCAAGGGTTTTTTACGCAGCAGTAGGATATAACACCAAAACTTAATGAAGTGATGCAGCAAGCAGATGGGGAGTATTTAAATATCCACACTTCATGCACTTTCTCTCTTCATCACAGAGTGATAAATATACACAGGTTCTAATGTTAACTTCAAATATTCAAACCAGTTCAATACAAAATTAATTCTTAAATAGTTCCAAACATACAGACAACAAATACAGGCTACAACATAGTGTACAAAAATACAAAGATCCTTCAAAGGTTTTCAAAAGAATTTTCATCCAGTTGAACTAATTTTTTTTAGTTACTAAACTTGAACTTCCACAGCAAAGGCATGACTTTTCACTAGTAAAAGTCAGTAAGATATTAAACCAACAACTGTTACTAAATGCCAAATTTCCTGATTTAGCAGAATCGCTTCAAATTGAAAGGAGGAGTTCTTCTTCTAAGGTTCTGGTTACGAGGGCGCTACTTGGAGTAAACTGGTTTACCGTTTACTCTTTTGGCCATATTACTGAAGAGATTAAAATCTGCAGTTTAACTGGTTACAAATTGCAAAGGTAATTTCTTATCTTTACACCATATTTAAGGTCAACTAGAACAGAAAAGGAACAAGGCTGCTCACTCTCTACCTTGTACTTCAGTTGTGAGATGGAATAACAAAAAGTCCCAGAGAAAATTCCTAACAAGTACATAATTGTACCCTTCATCCTTTTTAACAGGTTGCCAAAAAAAATATTAAATTAGAACTCCAGTATAGTTTGAGATTTGCATACAGGAATATCATATTAAGAGACAGATTACTAGGAGCAGAAAACTCAGTTTCTGAATTACAGAATCAAATACTTTCTTCTCTGAGCTTTACACTGACAAACTACAAAGTGCACAAGTTAGCAGTTCAGTTTTTATTCTTTCCTCAAAAAATTTTAGCCATCGAATATGAAGGGCTTTTAGAACTGAAGACTAAAACAAGAAATACTATCAGATTTCAGACAAGAATTACTAAAAAAAAAAAAAGATCTATAGCTTATATTGTGTAAGAAACCAAACAGAATATTACAGTCCCTTCTGTCCTAAAAAATTTATGATTATGATTGCCTGCAAGTATTCAATGAGAGCAGGCATAAAAAATGCACAAGAGAATTCTTCTCTAGTAAGAATTATCATTAGACTCAGTGAAATGTGATTAAACAAAATAAAACACAGGCTTAACACCAAGCTAAAATCTTCCAAAAAGCAAATAAATTGGACTGAATCACAGTGCATAAAGATTATTCCCTCACCTGAACTTTGCCATCCATAGAATATTGACCGAAATATAACTTTAAGTTATTAAAGTCATTATTTAATATAATTTTCATTTCACTTGTAGAGTTTTAATAGCAGTATATCCCAAGAAGACGCAAAGCAGGAAACAGCATATATCACATAGCCAGACATCTAGAAACAACACTACTACACTACTACTGACAAATAATGCAGTCAGATTTAAGTACTGGAAACTGTAATATTTCAATAACCTTTGCATAAATAAAAAGGAGTTACACATTAATTTATTAACAGTGATGTATAATGACATCAGCATAGGAGTCACAGAGAAAGAGAAACTAATAGAAGTTATATGTTCTCCTTCTTTAAAATACTCTATTGTAACTTGTGGTGAGGTTAAACAGCTTGAGAAGTAGAATACTGATAGAACTGCTTTTCAGAAGTTTGTCAAGCAAATTTCAGAAACAATTCTATGATAATTTAAGGATTTTCAGAATATAAGCCTTCTCTCCAATATTCAACAACAAGCAATGAATGTTAAAGAGATTTAAGAAAAAAACACACAACGGTAGTGGGCATTTCTGTGATGCCATCATAGCATCATAGAATCAGTTGGGTTGGAAGGGACCTCTGAGATCATCAAGTCCAACCACTACCACTGTGGTTACTAGACCATGGCACTAAGTGACACATTCAGTCTCATCTTAAAAACCTCCAGGGACAGAGAAGCCACCACTTCCCTGGGCAGCCCATTCCAATGCCTGATTACCCTCTCTGTAGAGAATTTCTTCCTAATATCTAACCTAAACCTCCCCTGGCACAACTTGAGACCATGTCCTCTTGTCTTGCTGACAGTTACCTGGGAAAAGAGACCAACCCCCATCTGGCTACAACCTCCTTTCAGGGAGTTGTAGAGAGTGATGAGGTCTCCCCTGAGACTCCTCCAGGCTGAACAACCCCAGCTCCCTCAGCTTTTCCTCATAGGACTTGTGATCGAGTCCCTTCACCAGCCTTGTTGCTCTTCTCTGGACCTGCTCCAGCACCTCAATATCCTTCCTGAACTGAGGGGCCCAGAACTGGACACAGTACTCCAGGTGTGGCCTCACCAGCGCTGAGTACAGGGGAAGAATCACTTCCCTGGTCCTGTTGGCCACACTGTTCCTGATCCAGGCCAGGATGCCATTGGCCTTCTTGGCCACCTGGGCACACTGCTGGCTCATGTTCAGCTTCCTGTCAATCCAAACTCCCAGGTCCCTTTCTGCCTGGCTGCTCTCCAGCCACTCTGTCCCCAGCCTGTAGCGCTGCAGGGGGTTGTTGTGGCCAAAGTGGAGGACCCAGAACTTGGCCTTGTTGAACTCATCCCATTGGAATCAGCCCAACTCTCCAGCCTGTCCAGATCCCTCTGCAGAGCCCTCTTGTTTTCCAGCTGATCGACACTCCCCCACGACTTAGTGTCATCTGCAAATTTGCTGATGATGAACTCAATCTCCTCATCCAGATCATCAGTAAAGATATTAAACAGAACTGGGCCCTACACTGATCCCTGGGGGACACCACCAGTGACCAGCTGCCAACTGGATGCAGCACCATTCACCACCACTCTCTGGGCCCGGCCCTCCAGCCAGTTCTTAGCCCAGCACAGAGTGCCCCTGTCCAAGTTCCTAACCCAGCACAGAGTGCCCCTGTCCAAGCCGTGGGCTGCCAGCTTTTTCAGGAGTATGCTGTGGGAGACAGTGTCAAAGTGATATAGACAGGTTCTTATGAACTCTCAAAACTCTAGTTTTATTTGAGCAGAAGAAAATGTGTAAGAACAAAATATAAATAGAGACCATCAAGGTGTTTTCCTATATTTTGGAGGTTTTTGTTTGTTTCTTTGTTTAGATGCTGTGCTTTAAATAGTTTGGTCATTACCCATTTGGGTACCAGAAAACTTCTGCCTGACCAAGGCTAAAGTCAGACTTAAAAGAGCTATCACATTTAGCCTTGTATTACCTTTTTCTTAATTCTAGTAAGAAAATATAAAACTGAGGAAAAATTCTCAAATCATAGAGCAATATCTAAACCAGTTGCAGCTGTGTCCCACAAACAGTTAACCAACTTAGAGCCAGCCCTCTTCCTTCTGGTTACATAACTCTATCCTGCTTTTGCACTAGCAGTGTAGTGCTAACACTTACTGAATCTTTTTGCAAGCTGATTTACTTCCATAACCCAGAAGAAGGATATCTTTTTTTCTACTGTTACCAAATTGAATTGAATCAGAGAAAGGACCAACAAACACCAGAGGCTAAGACAAAGTAAATGAGAAAAGCAGGAAAAAGGTGGTAAGAGACAGGAATCTTGCTTTTAGAAGCAATTAGTTCTTTCTTGGAACAACAGCCCTAAGCACATCTGAATGGTAAAAAAAGAGTTTATAATGGCTTAAGTCATAGAAACTCTGATTGTTTATTTTTTTCCTAAAGCATACCCATGAACCTCTACTTTGCACACTCTATTTGGACTTAATTTGTTGGGGGCTTGTTTGATTTTCTAAGAACTTTCTAAGAACAAATACCACCATATCTGTGGTATTTGCTACATCTCTTCCAGTTTAAAAAAATAACTACATCTATATGTATACAAATACAAAAGAAGTTACCTACTACTCTCTCTTCCATATCCTAAATACTCTTGCGTGTTTTACATTCCCATTTTATAACTGCTCCTTAGCAAAGACAACATGCAGGCACTAACCATCAGAAGCTCCTTTATGGATTCTAGTCTCATGCCCAGTTATGCACTGTTTTATGACCACACTATATTCAATAACACATACATGTGTGCATATGTGTCTGTATAGATCAGAGAATACGCTGAGTTGGAAGGGACCCATAAGGATCATTGAGTCCCGCTCCTGGTCCTTCCCAAGAGTCACACCATGTGCCCGAGAGTATTGTCCAAATAAATGCACACACACACCTGTGCGCACAGTGCATATATTTGTTCCGTGTATATACACAGAGACTTAAAACAACAAGACAGATAACATAGTCAGGACCAGGAGTAACAACTTCCATTAGGCACCACAGATAGCCAAAGAGATAGGATTGTCTAAAATGACTAAACTTGACAGTCCTAAGAAGATTGAGGCTCTAATAAGTAAGTGGATAAAAGACGATTTAATGCTGAAGCAATACATGGAACTACGGGTTTATTGCTACCCAGACAAACACTGTAACCTTTAGCTGAAGTCTCTGATTCTACTTTTTTATTTATCCATCTTCTGGCTCCTCCTGACTTTTACAAATCAATGTGACAAAGAAGAAAGATGCTCAGAGGCCTCAAGCAGCTCAGTCTGTAATTTTGGGCTGAAAAAACTACAATAGACAAAGAACCCACAGTTTTAAATCCACAGCATTAGAGAAATATCCTGATTCCTTCCACTGTTTAGATAAATGCTCTAGCCACTACAGTGTCATATAAAAAAGATCTAGAGACAGCTTTTAAAAGATACAAAAATTCCCAGACATTATATACTCCTTGAAGAATTTGTTGAGCCTCCTGAATGAATATAAACAAATTCAGACATTCCTATAAAACAATGAAGCATTTTCTAGTTCTACTGTATTTGACTGGAATAGTTCACAGGACACAACATGGAACAGTTACCTGTAAGGTCCAAAAGCATCTGCAGTGTTGTTGCAAGGGGTATTAGCCCCTACCTCTGAATTTAGGACAGACCCTACAGCTACCCTCTCTCTTCCAAAGGGTTGAGATTAGTAGCTCCTTTGCTACTGTGTATAGACTCAACTACACTAAATCTTTTTCAAAGTTTTGCTGTGAGGTTGCAATTTTTCCTAATGACCAAGCCTCCTTTAATTAAGCCATTCAAGGAACCTGAAGAAGAAAACAGTCTCTGTGAGTCTCCATGAACAGTAGAGTTTTTGTAATAAAGCTTGTGCACTTTTGGGGCCCTGTTACACTCTGCAAGCTTGTGGGACCACACTCTAGGTACTAAGGGAGAATAAACTAAATGGCTCCCCTACTGAGTGGTCTCTAAAGCTCTCAATAATCAATATTGTATAACAACTAATTTCCTCCTTAGTCATTACCCAGGCTGCACTATCTCACTATGATAGAGGAGGAGAATGATCAAGCACTATCACTCCTAAATTTCAGGTAACCTAGTAGGTCTCTTGATTAGACATCCCCAAACTGTTCTGGCTGGACTGAAAATGCTACCACCAACCTGATACTACAGGACACTTTCCAAAAAGTAAAAGGACTAAGGCAGCAGTATGGTTTAGAAATCATGAGGTAATCTCCTGTCAGAGGCAATTCTGAGCCTATTTTACTTTTTACAATCAAGCAAGAGTGAAAGAATATTTCTTTAGGTGCACTACTAAATGTTTGAGTCCTAAATGTTTGAGTCCTAAATGTTTGTGAGCCACAGCGCACACAAAAGCACTCCTAGACAAATATGAAGTTCAGAAGACATATGAAAGCAAGGAAGAGAAGTATATGCATCACACATGGAAGCAGAAGTCTAAGTTTGAAGTGACAGTAATGCTCTAGAAAGGATGCCAAAGAATTATGACTAACTATTACGAGTAGAAAATGATGTATTTCTAACATTTAAAACAACTGAGCATGGGAATGGGTTAATTGTCTTTTTTATTATTTTTGTTAACTAAATTTATCAAAAAGGGCTTTGGATCATGTGCTTTGCTATTAGGAAGCTTTGCTTTGTTCCTGCCTCCCTTTCTCAAGTGCTGTTTCCTAATTCTGAATATTTAGTGTAGTAGCACTGGGTAGCTAACTCCAGTCTCAGTTCCTTTCCCTTAATTGTATGATTGTTTAGCCTGCAACTCATCAAGTAGACTTGTTTTTAGTACAGCACATACTGAACAATCTGAGTATTAAGATGAATGTTTTCAGAACAATTCAAGAATTGTTTTTGTTCTGATTCCCCATAAGAGTTATGACACACTATCTTCCTCACTACAGAAAGAAGTTCAGTGGCCCACTTAGCCAGAAACTGTCCATCATGTTAGGTATACTGAAGTTTGCCAGCAAGATCATGAGAAAAGCATACAGATGTATGCCTTGCCTTACTGTGAGGACTTATAAATCAGATATTCACTCCTGTAATAAAGAGCAATTACAAAAAATTCACTTCCTCCAAGGTCTGGTTTTCATTGAACAGTCTGACATGTTTCATTGCATAATAAATACACATGGCAATACCAGGAATACATAGCAGATATTTTTAGGACTTGGAAAATATTCCAGCCCTCTAGAGCCAAGGGAAAGTGGCAATGTTCCATTTTGAATTTCAAAATACTCATTAATTATTTCACCTACATAAATCTGTATATATAAACCTAAATTTGAAGAAAACACCAGTTTTAGGTGTTAAGGAGAAAGGACTTCATATTATTCTCTAGAAAACAATAGTTAATTTTATTGACAATTTTATTAGCCTACATAATATGCATACTTTTGAAAATTTTAACCCAAATTTTAGTAAAGACACATCAAGTTTCCAATGAATTGATAATCTAAGCTGTACTGAGAAGCCCAACTAGAATTTTGGTACAGTATGAATAAAAGACCAACTTTTTTTTTTAGTGTGGTAAACACTACAATAACTCACTACACAGGACTGCATTGTCAGAGGTTAAGATACACGCAGTTTTCAGTCCCATGTTTTTCTCATTATGCTTTTTGGTATTTTCATTTCTCCATATGCTATAATCAGTAAAACAAACAAATAGAGTAGACAATGCAAGATTTCACTGATGACATATACAGAGAAGTTTTCTTCTTGGAGAAAATACAGCTATATACTATAGCTTTCTACTTTAACTGCAACTGAGATAATTCATTCCCCATTTTTCTTAAATTCTCTGCATTTTCCTAGCAACAATACATAGCAAGATTTTGAAGATGAAAGCTGCTTATTAAATTGAAAACAGGGGAGAAGTAATGTCTATTGGAAGTTTGTATTGTCCCTCTTATGGATGCACTTCCAAAAGTTTTTGACTGCATGACTATTTTTCCCTAATCAAACTTCTCTTAAGCAGAGATGCACTGTTCCCCTAAGCATAATCACATAGCACTGTTTTTGTCCTTGTGTTTCAAGTATGTAAGAAAAAAACTTCCCATTTAAGAAGCAACATCCATTTCTACTGCTGCATGCACTGCTTTCATGCATGTAGTAGTAAATACTATCATGATGAACTAAATTGTCTACAAAACTATGACTTCATAGTAAATAAAAAGATACTTAGGGTGATAACCACCTGGTTACAATGTAAAAGATCAAAATTTGGAAACCTTCGTTTTAAACACCTTACTAAATGTTTTAGCACCACCTCCTGGTCATACAACTACACATGGTACAAGTTTATTTTAACTTTTTTCTGGGATCGCTACACTGAATTAAAAATGCTGGCATATCTACTGGTAAATGTAATTTAGAGCAAATTCTACCAAGTCAAGGATCTCTCAGAACTAATAAAAATTAAAACAATCAAGCACGCTTGACATTCGAGAACTCCAAGTCTTACATTTAAAAATAGTTATATTCTATTTTAAACAGCGTACTTTGAGAAGATTATTACAATTACAGGAAAAAGATTCTGAAAAATACACATGAATTTGAAACAGGATTAGAATTAAAATACTTAAGTCCACAGAAAATGCAATAAAGCCAACACACATACCTTGAAATATTTTCTTCTAATACGTGTCATATTCATTAACATGACTCCAGAATTAATTCCAGTTACTCCATAATAGGGATGTCTAGCAAAGCGATTATACCACCCAATACGAGGCTCTTCGTGTTCTGGTGCCATTGCAGCGATTTGTGTGGAGTTGAACTTTCCCAGAAAAGACCAAATATCATCAACAGGCCTCAAAAACAGGATGTCGGTATCAACATACAGTAGTGAATCCACATTTTTGAGGATTAACTGTGAGAGAAAGAAATTTAAAACCAAACTTTTTAGTTTTATTGAACTTCTCTTCATAAAACAGAAGTTGCTGCCATTACACAATAAAGTTTAACACATTTTTGCCATATGCAAATAAACTCATTTTAGGCCGACAGTTTGCAGTCAATGAATTTGCCATCACTCCTCTCATTTTAAAGAATTTTAATAAAGGAAACAGAGGTTTTACACAGAATAGTAACGCAAAGGCACTCAGTCTACATTTTATATGCCAGGGCTCCTCAGGAGTAGGTTTGCAGGCCAGGCGAAACATTACTCTAACAGGAGCTCCTGTCTTGCTCCCGTTCCCTTGCTTTCCCATGCAGATAACCAAAAAAGGGAGAGATGTAAAAGCCCCAGAAGAGACAGTGTTTGGGAGACAGCTGCTACTGCTCTAATTCATCAAACCTGAAGAATGATTTCTGAGGTGTCTTAGACGAGCAAAATAAAAAAAGGCTGCACAAAACACTGGCAACAATAGCCCATTTCTTGTTTCATTTTCTCTAACACTTCTCAGACCCACGCATGCAGGAAACTTTTCAAACAAATGAGCAGATGAGGCGTGATAAATCCTTCTTACCTCTGAGAGGATGACATGAACTATACCTCTCTCTGAGGATACTGTGCCATAATGCAGCAAGTGAGAAAAGGACTTTTATTCCATAGGGTATTAGTGCCACAGAAGGTGGTTAAATTCACAGGATTTTTTAGGATGTCATAAAAGTAACTTTCAGGAGTAGTAGTAGTCCTTCATTTTAAACCAAGTAGATATCAGATTAACAAGGACAGCTTGATCCTTCATAAACAGACTTCATTGTCCTATTACAGAGTAACTTACTGGCAAAAATAGCCTTTGTGAAGCACATGGTTTAAACAATTTCTTCCATTCTGCTGCACTCTCAGTTGGAAATGTTATTGGATATAACGTATAATTAACTTTTCCTTCATAGGGGAATTCGTCAAGCTATATGAAAAGAAGAAATCACAGAAATTACTTCCGTTCAATTCTATTACAAAAAATAAATCAATCCCCCATTCAAATTCATAATTGAACACAACTACAACATCTCTTTTTCATAACAGAAATGCTTCTTGAACTACAAAAATCTGTCAGCTAATCAAAATAATCGAAAAAAATGGGCACCTGCAGGTCACTATGAAGAAAACACATCATATCACATCATATGCAAAAGGAAGAGGACGTAAAACAAATTAGCATTTACAAAAAGTAAGTACATTAAATAAAACTTCTCCCCTCAACTAGTTTCCACAGGAGAAATAACAGGAAGTCTTTCTAAATTTAAAATAACTTACTCCATTTTTGCCAGCTACTGCTCACATAACATTAGCATATACACATAAGCATGTATAACACATTCACGTCACAGGTAATATGACATTTTAAGCACAAAAATAAAACCTTCCACAGTTATAGCCTAGTCCACTTCTAAAACTGTTACTACAGTCATAATGTTATATTCATTAACTACAATTTACTAAAATCAGACATAACCATATCTACCATTTTCAAAAACTGATCTTTCAGTTTGTCTCAACAATTCAAGGCTGACTCATGCTGTAAGCAGAGGGACAAATCTCTAATTTTTTCTTGTAAAGCCAACTTTAAATAAGCTCACACAAGATAACAGATAACTGGTTTGTATTCAGAACATAGGTTTGTATTTAACAGATTTAAGGTGACAAATCACGAAGATTTGGTCTATCTCTAGGAGGAACTTTGATATCAGCAACTGGCACTCTTCCACAGGAAAAAAAAAACTCAAAAATCTCCATTCAACATTGCAAATGTCTTATTTTATTTCTAGACCCCTGCATTTCTGTCACTGTATCAAACAACTACTACCCAAGTAGAGAAATTGCATTATATTACTCAAATTGTGCTACAAATTGATTGAATTCGTTCTTCGAATACTTACTATGTCTTTGAAACGCTCGTGTAATTGGTCCTCAGCAAAAATATGAAAGTGGAGAGGTCTGATGCTGAAAATAATGGCTGATCTCAACATAGTAACAGTTTCTTCCAGTCTTTCACCACAGGCCACCACTGCTAGATGCATTTTCTCAGAAGGATGTGTTTTCATATAATCATATCTGATACAAAAATATTTTTTCATTTGACATCATTTCTAGCACACGCTTAAAGAAAAGCACTACTACTTACTGCAGGAAGTAACTTAACAAAATACCCTTTATCATACTTAAACCAGCAAAATATAACTCAAAGAGAACGTGCAAACTTCAGCATTATACCTCATATAGATTACGTTAACCTCAACCATTCTCGTATTCACTCCCACTATCCCAGCCTACAATGGAAAAACCAGGCATAGAAGAGCTATACAGAAACTACACAAACATTTACTTTCTTAGTAACTTTACTATCCATTAATAGCAGGGAATTTCATCAAAATAGCTATTTCAAAGGAAAGACTACATGAAGTTACATTAAAATGTGTAAGGGTGATAGCATATTCAGTCTACACGAGTTGATTTTTTTCCCTTTCCCTGGGATAAAAATGACAAATACAGCAGAGTTAAACTCAACAGCAGAAGTGAGATAACCTCTACTTTCAGGAAGTTCTGTTAAAAACATTTTTGACTGATTTTATCAAAAATTTTATCCATTTTCTGCTCCAGTAAGTCCTTCTTTGCCAAACCCGTGCTTCAGCACTTCATCTAAGCACTGACAAAACACAAAAAGTTTTCTCCCATACTTCCATCTTGCAGGAGTATAACTTGGGTAGGAAGAGGCAGCAGACTAATAGCTCAGGTGGCTTTGTATTGTGGAATGCCCTCGTGCTCCCAGTAGTTCTGAAAAATCCCTCAGGTACACTGACCACATACACTGACCACCACTTGAGGCTAAACCACTGCAAGGTGTAGGGACTGGGAAATCCTTTACTCCTGAAGATACCTGTGCAACAGTTATGGTGCATATTGGAATGTCTTTTACAGTGTACATTTTGAAGTTATTTCATTACTTTAATACAACAGGCTAAAATTATCATCAAGTAAATATCATTAACTCGGTGGCAAACAGTGGGCATAAACCATATTCTCCTGGATTTCATATATTTAATTAGTCAGAAAAGCTTCCAAAGATTTTAAACATACATCAACTCAAAGGCCATCTTCAAAACAATATGCATTGAGCTATTTTCACAGACTATGGGAAGAGGGGGGCTAACAGAACTAAGAGTATCTGAAGGTTTAAATTGCAAGTTTAATGCCAAATTATGCAGACAAAACCAATACTGAAGTTAGAAAATGCTTTCCTAAACTAGTAACAATAGAGAAATGCTTGACAAACCGCCTATTCTTAGAAACTTGTCAGACAGAGACACTTCAAAACAGAAATTAACAGATGTGACTCTTAGCACAATCTCCATCCAATTTATGTAACTGTGCACATATAAGTTTTCCTTTAAATTGACAATAGATAGTATGTAAATACACCTTTTTTTCTTTAGGGCATAGAAGAGCAATACACATTATTTTCAGTTACATGAGGCAAAATACAGGCAAAGTTATCACTGTAAAACTGCTGAATATTAGTGCCATAAATAATTGCTACATTTAAAACACATTCTGAGGTTTGAAAGAATTTAATGCTATGGAACAAAAAAAAATACAGTATTACAGGGATTTAAGATTAATAAAATTTTAACTAAAACATGCAGCCAGTCTGAAGTCAAGGCTTGGGGTATTATTAAAAATCCCATGGATGAAAGACCTCATAGGTCAGATTCAGATCCAAAGCAGGGGACATAAATGAAGATGCTAACATATGAGACTCTGTCCCAAGTCTCATTAAAGTCAACAGAGATATAGTGAGCAGGTTATGGAGTATAGACAGTAATTCATCTTATTTCAAAGTAAACACTTAAGGCTTCAATCAATTTTTAACATAGGTGTAGTGCCATTTAATAAGCTCTAGAATATTGCACCTGATCTCCAGGTGCCATTCCAAAAAGACTGTTTCAAAGATGATATTGTATCTACTAGTCCTAATGAGATTTCTAGGATACCCAAGTGCTCCTCGATTAACACTAACCATTTACTTCTCAGCAACCAAATGGCTTGTCACCTGGATCACCCTCTATGCTCTTTCAATTCTAATGACTGTTTAAGACCCACTTGACATAGACACCAATATGCAGACATCTATATTCAGACAGCTTAATCTGCAGACTGAAACCTTTTGTAAGTCTTGCAGCAAAATCTGGAAAATTAGTTTAGATTAACACACACACAAAACATCCTGAAATGTAACCAAGGCATGCCCATTCAGACTTTTATACATAAAGCTAATTTAAACATTACACCATGTAGTAAGTAGTAATGTAAAAAACACAATGCAAGCTGAATATGATGAGGGCAGTTGAAACCCACAAGTAAGTACACTGCTACAGTGTGAGCAAGCTGCAAGCAGCAGATTAGCCTCATCACTAATCCACTGACAAGGGAATTACAATAATTAAGCCCTGAAGTCATGAAAGCCTACAGTGATATTACAAGGCCATGTTATAAATAAGGGCAAAATGAACACAAACTGCACAGCTGCAAGCCAAGCTCCTGAACCACATGTAACACATGGCTTTCCATGAATAAGGTATGGCAAAGATTATGCCAAAGCAATTCTAAAATGTACTGAGATTCAAAGACTGTATTTTATTACTTCTACATCTAGTGACATCTGTGAATAAAAGAACATTTCAAACCACACAACAAAAAAATGACTGATTGTATTAAAATGCTTTTACAGTTGTTTTGTTCATACAATCTCTGCTATATGAATTTCTGACTCAATTTTTTAAATCTGTGCTTAAAAATAATTCTTAAAGGCAAAAAAAAAAAAGTTAGAAAGAACTAACAACAACTGAATTTCAGTGTGTACAACACAGGGAACAGCTGGACTCAAATCCACAAGTTCACAACAAAGTTTTATCCCTGAAACAGATGGAGCAAGAAACTGTTGGAAAGAACAGGCCGCCATCCCCTCTGGGGACTGTCCACTACGAAGGGATTGAGACGTATTAGATCTCAGAAATATATTAAGGTAGAAGTTATGAGACTCCAGAATTGTGGTTCTTACTGCAGACTTTTAGTGAGAAGAGACATTTTTTAGTGATTATAAGTTGCATTTGACTTCCCTGCATAGAGACCACTGGGAACTAGAGCCTCCTTTTCAGTAACCAGGCCTCAGTGCTGCTCCTCTCCCTGCATATACACCTCCCTCCACTCCCAGAGGGAAAGCCTATCCTTCATCCAAAGACACTAACTTCTTACTGCTAACCCTCAGTTGGCTCAGCTGGGAGCGTCTTTCATCAATTTTTCCTCTTCCTGACACTAGAGGCAGCATAAAATGTAAATTGTCCACCAGAGCTTATCAACTTGAGCTCTATAGTCTTACCTTTAATACGAATGTGTCCCACCCACAGAGACAATTATCTATCCTATGACTTGTCTCACTCCCTTCTTTATTACTATGTCTACATGGCTTTGGTCTTTCCCCTAATTCCTTTCAAAATTATCTGCCTTCAACTGCTCCCTTCTCTAGTTCTCCTTTCTGAATTTTCCAGCCTCTGTAACCCTTCTCCCCATCTTTCTCCACTCCAGTTAGGCATGCAACTACATCACTTGTAGCCTGGGAAAGGAGAAATATGCTCATTTAGACATCCCGGTGTCTGGTATGACCAAGTGACATAAGATCTTTTAGCAATAAAATTTTCTTAGCAGTTCAGTAGCTGACTTGACAATAAGCAAAATAAAATTTATTTTACAAGAACAGTAACTTTTCTGAACCTGAGCCAGTTTGGTATCAGAGTATCACAGCTCTGGTATGAACCCTTATTGAACCTCAAATACAGGTTCTGAAAGGGTTAAGACACTTTCAAAAGTGAGATACTTTAAAAAAAATTGTTGAGAGGCAACGTGGAAAACACAAAAAATACAAATGTAGATTTTTATATGCACATTTCTAATTACTAATAGCCTGTTCTTTTGGTATGGGAGAACTTAGTGGAGAAGTCAGAAGAAGCAATAGAGTGAAATACAAAGTGTATTTTAGTAAGTATTTTGGATAGACTCACAAAGAAAACTTGACAGCCCTACTTCCTAGAGAAAAAAAGACCTCCAGTAATGTGGGAGTCCTAGCTCCTGCAGGGAAAGAAAAACTTCTGGTAACTAAAATGCAAAAGAAAGAATGCAGCTGTAACCCAGTAGAAGATACTGATCTGGATGCCTTGACAGGATTTCAGTCTCTAGGGACAAATAAAAGAACTTCATTTGTCTGAGGGTGCTAATTATACATGAGGGGTAGGGATAGTAAAAATAAATGAAATAAAGCACTTGAGACAGAGGTCCACGCATACTCCCATGTGTTTAGAAAACATTTAAAACAATCTACTTGGACACCATATACTTTAAAACATGCTGCTCAGAAGTGGCATAAAGTGAGGTACAAGCCTTGCCCTGAAGTATTTCTGTGTCAAGTGTAGACCTTCATTCTATACTGATTAATTCTGCTGTGGGGTTAATAACCTCTGAGAGGAACATAGCTGGATATGCTCAATAAACTTGCTACAAGGTTTTCCAGAGCCTATCTGTCAAGACATTGCCTGCTATTTAAAGATGTTTACCATGATGCATTGTATATTAAATTAGCTTTTCTAGGTCAGTTAAAATTATGAAGCTATACTTTGGTAGTAGGCTACAAAGGTATGTTTTGACAGGTTACTCTTCCAGAACCTTCACTGCATCCCAGCTGGACTTCCTGGAAAAAACAAACAACTCAAATTTTACTGTCACTAAAATACCCACCAGCTCCACAAAAATCTTAGCTCTGTCCTCCAAACTCGACACAAGGTACCACAGTGGGAGTCACTTGCATTTGTTTAAGGTAGGGTTCTCCTATTCTCACATAACACATGAATACAGGTGAGAGGGTACCAAACCCTCAGGAACACCTTGTATACAACTGAATCTGATTTGTGATCATTAAGCCTAACCCAATCCCATCCTGCTTTAGTGAGGTCACAGAACATCACCGGCTTCTGCCGCATACATACACTGCTGCCTTCCAGGCTCCACACCTTCCAGGGCAGCCACATTGTTACAGCATGACCTGGGTACCTTCAAAGAAGTGTCAGTGCGAACAGGGCAATTTTTTCCCCTTTTCTTAAGCTACATTTAAGTATAGACACACTGTTATTAAGCAAAGGCACAAAGTAGCCACAGTCCCCCTTACTTCTTTGTTACAAACTTGGAGCACTAGGGTTCCTGTTTTCCCCATGTGCTGATGTACTACCAAGAACATTCCTAGGGGTCAACGTGAAGCTCCCTACACAAACACGGTGGTAATCAAGCTGTCCTCTCCTATTGCCTTAACATGTCTGGGGGAGCCAAGGAAGGAAAGGTGAGCATCCAGAGCAGAGTTGTATGAAGAACTGAAGCAATAAATTGACCTCCGTTGTCCTTTTAAATTTTACTCTGGTCCATTCATTGAGGAATTATCATTTTGAATTTAATTGCATGAGTTTTGAACTATGTAAAAATATTTCTCACTTTCTGAGAAAATTGCCATCATCCTAACTTGCACCACTAGTTTTTATGTACCCCCACTGTTACATACCAGTAATACAAAAAAGTAAGAATTATTTCGTAGGTTACACAAAACATTTTAAAAATTATTCTACATCAAGTTTTCCTACACTTGTTCTGAAAAAGCTACAGCAGCCTTGCTTTTCTTTGATCTTTTCTCTGAATCGTCTATAACATGTGAGGTATCCAGTATTCAGCTTCCTAAACGAGGTCGCTTAATAAAGTCTCTCAGTCCTTCCATAACACCATTAAACAATGTTTCCTTGATATTATAACCAAATGAACTAGGTTGTCAGGCTCAGCTGTGTTAAAGTTGTTTACACTTACTAAAAGAATAAACAGAAGCCTCCTGCAAATGTGTTTTCTTCTTCGGTATAAAGAGCCAATCACATTATCAGTGCAAATATTTTACCCATAGAGGTGTTTTCTACAATTAGCATGGAAGTAAGAAGGTAGCAAAGCCTACAGTGATTAAAATGCAGCTGTTAAATCATTCCCACACTTATTAGAAGTAGGATGAAGGTAACTACAGACATTATCTGGAGTTTAAAGTGATGAAAATTCTAGTTTTTACTCAGCTTAACTTTCTACTACTGCGCTGAATTAAAAACATGTCATAATCAGAGCTTATTTTGTAAAAGTATGCTAATGATACCACTGCATATGACATCCAAATGTAATCTATTCAATTGCCAACTCAGTAGATTAGGTTTGAAGTTACGATATATTAATAATTTTAAATTGACTACAAGTCTGAAATCTTATCCTCTAATGAGCTAGCTAGTTTAGAGAAGTCCCTTTTTTCAGAACTATCACCATTCATCTCACTATATCCACACCACAAGAACCTCAATATACTCAAAAATTAGTAAAACTTTCTTTTTTAGTAAGCAACACAAGTTAAAATCCACTTAGAGTCAACATGCAACAACTGAAATCAGGCTGGTCAGATAGCCATAGTAATAACCCTAAGAATTTCTTCTTAATCAGTCCCAGTAGGAAATAAGCAGCCATTCCAGCTAGATGACACTGAACACCTTGAAAGGTGAGATATGCATCATCTAGACCATGCAAAACTTGAGCCTGTTACCTTTATCAGCATTTTTAAAATTTTGATAAAATCCATACCACTGTATGTAAAAGCGATCTCATGCTTCCTGTGTCAATGTGAAAGCTAACAAATACTCTGTGTCAGAAGCACAACACAAAACATTCTCTCTCAATAAAGTTGATAATCAGAATGGTGGTAAAAAATGTGGGGGCAGAATAGCTACAAAATTCTTCCCACATACAGAATAAGCAACTGATCTTATACTGATTAACTCAGAGACAAGATCCTTATTATCCATTATTACAATCAGCACCTGCTCAGAGCTCATTGATTTCAAATGAACTATCGCATGAGTTATACTGAAGTCTATATATATACCTCTCTCCTAAAAATTGTCCAGATTCCTCTATATGTCTCCAACACTTCTAGCATATGTACTTGAATCTTACAAATCCAAAAAACATTAGTTTTCACTTTATACACTTGGAGCTACTCAGAGCAAATGATGTAGCAAGCTGCATTTCAAAAATGTCTGTGCCAAGTTCTTTCTCTCATGGACTAACAAATCCCCGTGGTTCTGATATCCAGGAAAAAAAAAAGGTCACTGGAATTTCAAGTTAGAAACAGAGAGGTAACAAGCTAAGTTTTTTTTGACAAAAATGCTTAAAAATGAAAAAGCTGAAGGACTACCTCCCAACATATTAAGAACTTCATTGGAAAATGGAAAGGAGACATTCTAACACTGAGATAGATTTTATGACTGTACTATTGGCAAAGATATTCTAGCTGTATGATCTGCTTTTCTCATTTGGTTAATTTATTGAAACAGCAAGAATAGAACATTAGAAACTCCATTCACAAACTGATTTATGATCTGGTTAAACAGTGCTGTTCTCTTCTCATGGATTAAATCAGGCCAAATAGATTAAAGATATGTGCTAATTTTTCTCATATCCCTCTCCCTATCATAGTCTCTTCCTAGTCTAGCTTTATTCTGTACCTCACTACAACAATCACACCTATGATGAACACAAAGGTTTAGTCAACCCAGGATGAAATTATTTGGAATAAAGACATTATTATGGTAGGACAATCATTTCATTTCAAAAGATACCCGATCTAGAACCACAATGTTGACTCTTTACAGACAAAGCTTTCAAAGATTCTTCATGAAGAATCTTCTAGTGGCCCTACACATACAATCTCAGAAAAAAAGAATGCTAGACTTCACTTGCTGTGGTTAATAAATTTGCATGCAAGTACGTTCATTCCTCTTCCTCCAAAAATCCTACTGCAAACCTGAGAACAACTACTAAATATCACATTTAAAGTACCTCTCAGCTTCTCAGTGCACCTAGTACAATACACATTCTTCCTCTGAGAGTCAAACAAAACTCTTTCTCCTTCTCTCTGCCATCTTTCCCACTACTTCTCTTACACAAACTCACTGCATCTCTCCAACATCAACTGAACTCATTAAACAGAGTAAGAATAAGTTTGGGGTAAGCATGCTGGCCCATTCTGAAGTTAGAGCATCTCACTGAGGAATTCAACAAGCACCAGAGTCAGCACAATATATGGGGATTAATTTAATAGTAATATATTGATAAAATAATCCAATTCAATCTGAAATTATTAATCTGAACACCACACCCCCTTTACTCATTTAAGTAGCTTTTTTTCTTTCAATTTCAAAATGAAACGTTGAACACAAAATTCTGCAAATATTAGGGGTTCATCATAGCAATTGTTTCATCATGGAAGTGGACTCATCCAGTAATGTCATATCAATGCATACTTTGACTTGTCTTCACAGCCACATGTGGCATTCTTAATAGGAGAATACAAGTTACAACCTAAGGTATGTGTAAATAAACTGCATGGGGTCTTCCACTTCTGGTTCCAAGGTCCCACTTGCCTCAAGCCTGACAGAAAATCCAGAAAGGAAGTTTTCTGCTATTTTAGTGCATTACATTGAATGTATTGTGGAGAGTTCATGGACATCATCATGGTCAATAGGGTCAGAAGACAGCAAGGCCCTGTCCTCTTTCAGCAACAGACAAGAGTTAGACTGGCTCAGATGTCCAAGGATTAAATGAAGCTTACAATCACATCCTGTCCCTCCATTAAGCATAAAATAAGCCCCAACATCCTCAACCACAACAGCACTGATATTTGTTTTATCCCACTATGCTAAACTTCATAAAGCCAGACTCCCAAAAGCTAACCTTTGAGGAAAAAAGAAGTTAATTAAGTCCATTCAGACAGCTAAATCTGCCTAATGAAGTCAGGTGAATCACTATGGATTGACACACTGGCTACCAAGGGTAGCGAGAAAAACTCAGCAGTCCCAAATTACAGGTACAGTTCACTAACAGACTAAAAATCAATCTAAGCAATCTCTTTAAGGAACTTCTTGGCAACTGATGATCTTAAAAAGCACTGACAACACACAAGCAGAGAAGAATATGGGAACAGGTGATCTAAAGTCTTTCCCACAATCAAAATTTTCAAAAACACATTAAGTCTTGTGAAGCTAAACTTTTTTCCCCTTTGCTTCCCCAGAAATATTCAAGCTTTATACTAAGAAGAAAAGGTAGATCTGCTGATCTGAAAGGATTATCAGCAAAATTTTAAATATAAGAAAAGTTGACTTAAATTTTAGTTATACACTGAAGAGAGCTATGCAGGTTAGAGAATGTCAGGGAGCTTGTTTCTTTTCAAGCTGCTTCTGTAATCTGGCAGCCTAAAGCATATGAACCATCAATCACATTAAGACATTTAAACTTATTTTCAAAGATGCAACTTTAAGGACACAGTCTATGCTTTAACATAATGTATCTTAAAGAACATTCTAAAACGTTGTTTCAGTGCTTTTGGATGAAGCACCCTCCTCAAATTCTATAAAACATGTAACTTAAATTAAAAAAAATCCGAATTTAACTACTAAGTGTATCTGCCAGTTTTTATTGCAAGTTACATCATGGGTATTACTGTGCAAGTTTTATTTTAGGAAAATAATTTATCATTAACTTTTCAGACTATATTCAGGCAGGCTTTTAATAGATGTTAGCAAGTTTCTATTTAATGAAGCAACACAATTGAAAAAAACTACTCTGTAGTAACACTTGGGTCTACAATTTTAAAACATAATGTACCAGGAAAAACCAAGCTAAAGGAAACCACAACATCAGCAGGTGAAATGAATGTGAAGCAATCAAAATATTTTGCTTTGTCATCTTGCTAAAAAGCAGCTACACCTGTCTGCAATCAAATAATAAAGTACTATTTAATAACAGATCCTACCTAAAAGCAGCTTCCCAAAAGCAGTTCATTCCACAAACATCAGAGGGCAGCATCCAATAGGAATTCCAGAAAGATACAGACAAATTCTTACACCTAACAGAATAAGACAAAAATAACCTATATAAATGTTACTGATTTTATGGCAAAGTTAAATGTATTATCTTCTAGTTCAAATATAACTTGAACAGCTAATTACTTGACAGAAAACTGGCTGTGCAATGCAACTTGAATACAAAGGAGGAGGTATTAGGTGCCAACCAGGAGGATTTTTTAAGGAAGAAGGGTCCCATCCTTTAGCCTTTCCTCTTCACATATTTTCACAGAGAAAAAAACAGAGGGGCTGTGATTTTTGAGGGTCCTTCTCTGTTCTTGGCTTAAATTAAGTCCCATAGGTAACAGAGCAAATTGCAACACTTACTGCTAGAAAGAACTCCTTCACCTCTTCAATATCTTTGTCTACTCAAAGCAGAGGAGCAACTATATCTTTTAATTTTCAAAGTTACATATCCATTTAACACAATTCCTATTCATCCATGACTCTATTCAGTGCAAACCTGCAGGTTTGATTTTTAATAAAAAATAGGGCTTTGCAGCACCAAGGAATTCCACTGTTTCAGAACAAAAGGTTAATGCAATACAGAAATGATCACCACATTTGGCAAGTTTTTTCCTCTATACTAATAGCAAGACTAATAATTTATTGACTTGTGCTACACTAACAACTAAAAAAACATGTTTTACTAGTTCACCATTACATTTATGCAACAGCAATATAGGAAATATTTAAAAATAGAAACAGCAGCATATTGACAAAGGTTCTGGTGAGAAAATCAACATCAATATTGCACATCTGCAATGAGCAAGCAGAATATTGTAAAGCAAGGGATATACTCTTGTGTGCCCTTCTCTGCTCCCTGCTCTGGTGACACAAAGCCAGTAGTGCTTATTCTCCCTTGAAAGTTAATATCTGTGAATGAAAGACATGTGCAAGAAGAAAACCAACACAAAAGCTGCCAATGCAAAGGTATTTAAGGACTATAGCTCAGACCTCTTCTGGAAGTTGGCTTTGCAAGTTTGAAATGAATCAGCATCATCTTGGTAGCATCATCTGGAATCTGTAAAGGCCAATGTTTTGCAAATAATGGCACCAGAAAATGGCAAGCTGTGTAATTTCTTCTTTTTATAACACATGAGAAAAACGACTTGATAAACACAGAGTTTCACAAAGCCTCATTATGTGTTGGGGGGGAGGTTCGATGCAGTTCTTTGGTAGAGATCACAGGAAATCCTTGTATTCTGTAGATACATGTTTTCAAGTAATTTTATGTCATGACTTAAGAACGCTCACCACAAATAAATAGGGAGGTACAAAAAATGAAAATAGACTGTGACTAAGATATCTGCACTCATCTTTACTAAAGTAAATGGTATAAAACCACAATGGCATACAACCACTCTGCTATATTCTTTCTTGTATCAATCTTTGTGGCTTTTGAAGTTTTTTAAAAACTTCAAGGCACATTAGGACCTTGTACTTATCTGAAGAGCAATCTTTACAATTTCTACTGTGTAGCTTTTTAAAGTAACTGTTTCTCAATACTTTTAGGATACATTAATAGACAATCTCTCAAAAACAGTTTTCCGGTTTGGAAGATTATTGTCTTCTTAGAATCATAGAATCATAGAATCAGCTGGGTTGGAAGGGACCTCTGAGATCATCAAGTCCAACCCTTGATCCACTACCACTGTGGTTACTAGACCATGGCACTAAGTGACACATTCAGTCTCATCTTAAAAACCTCCAGGGACAGAGAAGCCACCACTTCCCTGGGCAGCCCATTCCAGTGTCTGACCACCCTCTCTGTAAAGAATTTCTTCCTAATATCTAACCTAAACCTCCCCTGGCACAACTTGAGACCATGCCCTCTTGTCTTGCTGATAGTTGCCTGGGAGAAGAGACCAACCCCCACCTGGCTACAACCTCCTTTCAGGGAGTTGTAGAGAGTGATGAGGTCTCCCCTGAGCCTCCTCTTCTCCAGAATCAACAGCCCCAGCTCCCTCAGCCTCTCCTCATAGGACTTGTGCTTGAGTCCCTTCACCAGCCTTGTTGCTCTTCTCTGGACCTGCTCCAGCACCTCAATATCCTTCCTGGCTCATGTTCAAATTCCTGTCAATCCAAACTCCCAGGTCCCTTTCTGTCTGGCTGCTCTCCAGCCACTCTGTGCCCAGCCTGTAGCGCTGCATGGGGTTCTTGTGGCCAAAGTGCAGGACTCGGCACTTGGCCTTGTTGAACCTCACTCCGTTGGAATCAGCCCAACTCTCCAGTCTGTCCAGGTCCCTCTGCAGAGCCCTCCTGTCTTCCAGCTGATTGACACTCCCCCCCAACTTAGTGTCATCTGCAAATTTGCTGATGGGAGACTCAATCCCCTCATCCAAATCATCAGTAAAGATATTAAACAGAACTGGGCCCTACACTGATCCCTGGGGGACACCACCAGTGACCGGCTGCCAACTGGATGCAGCCCCGTTCACCACCAGTCTCTGGGCCCGACCCTCCAGCCAGTTCCTAACCCAGCACAGAGTGCCCCTGTCCAAGCCATGGGCTGCCAGCTTTTTCAGGAGTATGCTGTGAGAGATGGTGTCAAAGGCTTTGCTGAAGTCCAGGTAGACACATCCACAGCCTTCTCCTCATCCACCAGGCGGGTCACCTGATCATAAAAGGAGATCAGGTTGGTCAGACAGGACCTGCCCTTCCCAAACCCGTGTTGGCTGGGTCTGATCCCTTGTCCTTGTCTTATTATTACAGGGTATTCGTCTTCCAGTTGTCAACAACAGTTTTCTTAGCTGTCTTGAGCTATTATCCTATCCAAACTACCAAGGCAAGAGACAGGGTTGAAGTAATGCCTAAGTCATTTTTCTGACACATTAGGCCTCTCCAATATTCTGTTCAGCACAACAACATTATCAGCATGGGATTCGAGTCATAAATTTCACATTTAAAACCAAATCATTACTAAGATATGTATGTTTGTAACTTCATGTTAGACTAAGACTATTTTCCTTTCAACAGAAGTCTCTCTCAATTGACCATAAGTTTTTGCATACAAAGGATTAAGAGACTGGAATAATTTTCTTCTTGTTATTCACAATAAGATCATTTCAAATGCAATTCATGAAGATATTTTCTTATTTTTAATAAAATCTGAGGAAAGCTTAGACTACAAACAATTACTTTACAAACTAGGGAGATGCATTATATATGTTCATCAAACAGGCACAGTCATTGTCACTTCAGCAAGGTTACTAACTAGTCAGACAGGAATGGTCACTTTCACGACTAGGGAGGGATATTTTGTTCTCATCTATTATAGTTATGTGATTAAAGGACAGTCTCTCCACAAAGAGAAAGCAAAAATAATGTCAGGTGAAAGAAACACAGCAGTCTAACCCAGGCACATGGAGCACCCTGGCCCAGCCCCAGTTCAGGGGAGCATGAACCCATGCCCAGTGAGCCCATGAACCAGGCAGAAGTTCCACCAGATGAGACAACAGGAAAGACTCTCCAGAGCACCTCACCAACTGCCTAATGGGAGTACGGCCTGCAGGGGTGTGGGGCTCACTGAGGGTTCAAGGTGAACTAGGGAGAAATGAGAACACAAAAAACAGTGAGAAAATAAGAGGGTCCAGTCACATGTGAACAGGTTGCCAGTCAATATGATTGGCCATGTTGTGTGCCTGATCACCAGCCTTCTTATTAAACTCAGTTTCTGTTTTCCTGGGTGACAGGAGTGGCTCTGTTCCATGTGCATGTACACAGGTCAAAATGCCCACAAATGAAAAGATGGCCAGAGATCATAGGGGCCAACAAGCCTGCAGTGCCAGGAACTGGAGAGACATGTGCAAGTAGCATGTAGGTGTGTGCACGCTGGTGCACACCAGCAACCAGACAAGCCTACCAGTAGAGCAAGAGGCTTGGGAGACAGCTATCAGATGGGCCATGAGACTGGGCCAGGCTCTGCAGAGAACAGAGGGTCTGAGCTACTGAAAGAACCTCTCTCTTACACAGCCACAAGAGATTAGGGTCTGAGGGATGGCTACTGGAAGTTCCAGAAGGTCTAAGCCAGCCACCTGGGGTTTGAGGATTGGCTAAGTTTAAGGCTATAGGTCAGGGCCAGCTATCTGAAAGACCCCTTTGCATGAGGCAATCCTGTGGCCAGCTGCCACAAGGCTAAAGACAGTAACTGGAAAGATCCATAGTGTATTCATCTTTACATGTGTGTGCACATCCAAAGGGTGTGAGTACCAGCAACTGAATTGGGTCTGCAAGGCTCATGGGTTTGCACACCCAGGTTAGCAACAGTGGAAAAGAGAGGACCAGGAGGCAGTTCCTGAACAGAATGAGTGTCTAAGATCAGTTACTGGAGGGATCCACATTATAAACCTTAATATATTTTTCACCAAAGCCTTTCACCCTCATCAGCCAGAGAAGGGAACAGGATCAGGACTTGTCTTGTGTAAGTGATGTTTTCTCTGCACTGATCTCTGTGGCCAACCATGTGTGTAAGCACTAAGAGCATATGTTCCTATTAAGAATAAATGCTCAGCTGGCTGGACCCAGGAATATAGAAATGCAGCAGCCTTGCCTCCATCACACTACTGAAGTGGACAACTCCTAACATCTACCATTGTCAAAAATATAAAAATGAAGAAATATGAAGTTTCAAAAATCACTGGTGTCACAGACATTGATCTGTTTGCCAATTCAAGGTACCTCTTCTCTAAGAAACGAGGCATTTCATAACTGCCTTTATCAGGTACTTTAGCTTCAACATCACTGGATAGTAAAAATTTTACTAGTGCAGACATAGAAAAGGTGTCTGTATTGTGATTTGAAAACTTTTCAGAATTACAGGAAAATTTTAAATTATTGTGCAAAATACATAGCAATGCACAAGTTGCAGTCATGAAGACTGAGGCCTTGTGCTCAGGCAAGTCAAGTTTTAACCATAAGGAATTCCACAACAATCAGCAGTAATCTCTTAATGAAGATTACTTTAAAGAATACTTTTTAATCCATGTGGCATCTTTTATACCACTGTAACTTCACAGCAAATTTAGCAGAATGTCCAAATGGTGAGGGTTGCAGCCATGAGTACTGTGTCCTTGTCAGTACTGCATTAACAACCCAGGTCTGATCAACTGCATGAATCAATCAAGAGAGACAGCCTGGTGTCTTTCCTATGGCATAAGCCACAACATGCAGCAAAACAGGTAAGCAGCATTTTTTAGTTCCTTCCTGTTCATAATCACTCAGGAATAAAAATTTGAGATGATGAAATGCTCAACGCAACTCCCAAATACACTGAGAATTTCTGATTCTTCTCAATAGCTTTTCCTGAACATTTGCAGCAATATCACAAATTTGTCATGACATACTTTGTCATAGAGGCAATGGCTTTATTACACAGGAGACAGTAAAAGCAATGTTAGATGTCTGACAGATGCCAAACTTTTTTACTGGAAAAATCTCAATAATGTTTCATTAATTTAAAATATTTCTGTGTAAAATAACATTTGCTAGTCAACTGCTTGACAAATTCAGCAGATTTTTAAAATGAATTTTCAATTTAAAAGGATGAAACACTCAATGATTTGAAGTTTAACTCATATTTTGCAATTCTTAGACAGTTTCTGGACCAATTTCTCAAGAATAGCTGAGAAGCAGACTGGTGAAACTGTTGGTTAAGCTCTGATAGAGACAAAACCAGCTCTGTACAGGCCAAGGAAAGAACCAACTACCTGTCACAGTCACCCTCCTCTGCTAAGCTCATGGATATACTTCCTACACTTTTCCATGCACTATAATCCACTTAACTCTCCCCTTGCCAGGATAGTTAAGAGAGCAAGAGACTGATACAGTCAGATATCTGTGTCACACACAGCAAAACAGTGTGGCCAGCTGCAAAAATGCTAAATTACAGCACAATGGAAAAATGTTTCATTTGAATAGAGTCAAATTCATTGACCTCGCTAACATCACAGAACTGACAACAGATTGATTCTTTCTCTATTTCTCAAACTTGCCATTAGAATAGCACTTTTTTGGCCCTGAATAGATGAACATTATCTGCCTAACTGAAGTGGCAATATTGATAAAATTAACTGAAGGTTCACTTCTCAGTCTGCTAATTAACTCATCTGAAAGCATGTGGAAAAAGACTAACTTGAATGGATGCTCCACAGACAGCAGATTACAGCACTATTTAATAACATACTGTAGCAAGTATATGTTTATGTACTCTGGTTTTGATTTTTTTTTTAATTTAATTTCATTTTTTTCTTAGCCACCTTCTTCATCCATAAATCATACTAGCAAAGAAAAAAAGGCTGACTACATATACTGCCTTTTGATTGATTTTGTATTTTCTGAAAGCAGAAACATCAATATGCTTTCATTTTTTTCAAGTTCAGGTCCACTGCTCACTTAGCTATTACTTATGTCTGTACTGACTATTTATTACTCCTTTTCTCACTAAAATGAATAATCAATAGGACAATTTACCTTCACTGCACAGCTAAAACCCAACCTTAATTTAGTTATTAAATTCTTAAAAGGTTTTTCAGCTGTTTAGACCAAGTTTCAAGATACAAGCCTTTAGTTTTCAGCCCTCTTGTTCCTCAGGCTAGATTAGCATTTGAAACAAACAACTCCTTAACAAACTGATTACCCAAAAAGTTCCCCTGAATTACTATGCTTATTGGAGGATCGTGCCTCAAGCTGTAATTCTAGTTTCAATATGGTATTTCCTTTTCAATTATTTTCTACTTAAATGTGTCATCACTATTGCTAAATTCTTCCAGGTATAGTATTCTAAAGCCTTAGTCAAAGCTTGCAGTTTTCATGTTTGCATGTTCTAAAAACTGACAGAAAATTCAACTTCCCCATCCCAGAGCATGATCAAGTTCTTTCTGCCCTTATGGGATATACTAAACCAGATTATTCAGAAAAAGAAAACCCTTCTTGGCTAAAGAGAAGAGAAGAACACTGCTGAGTGCATAAATGCCTTCAGATGATAGACTTGCTTTGCTGAAGTGTATTTTAAAGCTGTCAGAGAAAACAGCTGAAGAAACCCATTTATGAAAGTTACTATTAATACATATAAAACATTAAACTTTAAGAAGGATTAGAAGGTTATCGGAACACATTTTTTTCTATAAGGTTATGGACCCTTCAGGATATTACACAGTCACAAGATAGTTAAAAGTGGGCATATAACAGCCATGTGGCCATTGTGCTCAGTCTCCACTGAAGGAACAGCTGAAGCATAAAAACTGAAAGACACCAATATATTTACTAAGATGTGCATGTATCACTTACACAAGTGAACGTAATGCAGTTTTAATACTTTAGAATAACTGAAACATGCATCTAAGGGAGTATTCAGTGGGGTATTTCTTAACTGTCACAGGACAGAATTTTTCCTTAAACAAAAGCCTTTAAGGGACTGTTCTAAGGGACTGACTCGCCACTAGATTTTTGCACACACTGTTTGCACAAACAGTATGTTTCCATAACTTACAACAGCGGATGTTCTTCCTGAGCCTTCAGTTTGACAGCAGTCTACAGGCAAAGAAATCCCACAGAGGCGACAACAGACACTGATTTTGCAAGGAGATATGCCTCCATGACACTATACACAGGAATTATTTGTGGTACTTGAGACCTTTAGAAAAGAACTTTCTCAGTTTGTAAAACTTTTCTACTTTGCAACACAGAGCAGATTTATATCTCATCTGACATCACTCCAGCAAGAAGCTTCTTGCACATTGCTGGGGTTCTTCCCCACTCATATCTTTGATTTAAAAACTACACTTCGGTACAAATACTGAAAGAGTACAGCTTTTAAAATGAACTTGGTTCTTCTTTTGGTAACCATGAGCATGATGCACTTGAAAGTCATTTCAATGTTTAGTAAAATTATTTAGATTATCATCTTTTATTGACTTAATACAATTTTTCTTCGTGTAAACTGCATGTTTTCCTTAGTAAAACAAATATCATACATACGTTTTTTCCTCACATTTCTATTAAAAACTGATTTATTAAACCAATAAAATCTTATATAAAACTGTTAAAGGTAACTCTTTTATTTCAGTTAGTGTTCCTTAGAACCAGTAGATTTCAACTGTTCATGAGTTTTTAATCATGAACTAGAAATGAGAAACAATCATCCTCACATTTTTTTCAAGTCATAATCTGTATTAATTTGAACTAAAGCAAAAGTACAGGGAAAAAAATTCTAAGTAGTTACACCAGTCAAAAGCTGGGTTTCGCGTTTCAGCTGACTCCACCCCTAGTAACTAAGAATGCTGTTTCATAGTATTTTAAGATTATTAAGTCACAGTTTGTCATCCTACCATCCTCCATAGTTCCTTTGCACCAGCACTGACACTTTCATAATTACATGATGAAGTAATTCAAAGCGCTGAGCTGGCAAAAAACTAGATGGTTTTCAGGCCGGTCAACATGCCAGATCAACTCATTTGTGTGCTCAGACAAGCAAAAGCAGTGTAAAGTAGTGGGGGACGCCAGAGGTTGTGCAGCATTAGGAAGGAGTGACCATCTCCAAACCATTAAACTCACATTCTTTTAAATTGCTTTAGAATCTTAGCAGAGCTAGAGGTAGGCTGGCCCAGAAAGGTCAGGCCTGAATTCCTCCTCCAGTTTCAGTAACAGATTCCTTGTCACTTCTCTTTTCCTGGCATTAGGATTCCCATTGCCACTAGTGAACAGTATTAGGAAAATAAAACCTGAAGGCAAACTACTAATTTTCATTCCATAATCTCACTCACTGCTTGACCACATAAAAATTTCTGGTGATAGGAGGCAGGCAACAGAACAATGTGACTCTGCAGAGTGCGAGATGCTCACACTTACATCCCTTTAACTGCAGAACTGAACTCGCCAGTCTCTGTGAGAAGACTGGCTGTATTAAGGTATCCCATAAAAAGTTTTGCTTCAATGAAGTTATATTTGATAACTCTATAGTTACCAAATTTCAGAGTTGAACGAGCACCCTGAAATTTTCTTCGCTTGGAAAAAAGAAACGCACCCTTCCGCCCTGTCCTACCAGGAGCGGCCAGGGACGCGCTCTGAGCCGCGGGGACGCGCACGGGGGCGGCATTGGCCGACGGCAACGCCACTTCGGAAAGTTTGCCTGGTCTGTTCCAGGCTTCTCCAGCCGCCGTTCCCCGGCGCCCGGCCCGCGGGGCGCCGAGCGGGAGCGCACGGAGACACCGCTGCACGGAGACACCGCGCCCGCCCCGCCAGAGCGCCTCCCGGGCCCCGGCCCCGGACAGCCAGGGGCGCCGCGGCCCGCTCCGCCCGCGGCAGGGACGGCGCCCGGCGCTCCCGCCTCCCGGCCCGCCCCGCAGGAATGCGGGGGGAACCACGCCCGTGCCTCCCCCGCCCGGCCCCGGCCCCCGCGCCGGTACCTTCGGGCCCCCGCCTCGCCCCGGCCCCGCGCTCCCCGCCTGCCGCCGGACGCCGGGCGCGGCGGGGTCTCGGGCCTGCGGCTCCCGGCCGCCGCCGCCGGGCTCCTGCTCCAGCGAGAGGGCGAGCTGGCTGAGGCCGTAGAGCAGCGAGCAGACGCCGCAGCCCAGACACAGCAGCGCCACCCGCGGCGAGCCGGCCGCATCCTCCGCCCGCCGGGCCGCGGATCCTCCGGCAGCTCGAGCGCGACGGGCGCGGCGGCGGCGCGCGGGGGGCGGGGCGGGGCCGGGGGGCGGGGCCGGAGCCGGTCGGGCGCGGGGCGGGCCGTCGGGGCGGGGCCGTCGGGGCGGCCACAGTCCAATTGTCCCGAAAGTAAAAAAAGCCTCTTCCTCTTCTTCCCCTGCCACCGCGGCCCCGCGCTCAGCCTGGACTCGCCCCCGTTCAGGTCTCCGGAACACGTCCCTGGGCAGGAGTCGAGAGAAGAAACGTCCCAGGCAGAGACAGCGGCAGCGCTGACGTACCAGGAGCCCGCAGGGACAGCGCACAAGCTCCTGTCTCGCCGTGTCTTCGTGAAGGGCAAAAGTGGGGCTAAAGTCCCCTCAAAATGACACTCTTTTCCCCTATGCTCAATGTTTCTGTTGCGATAACTTCGATTTTCCTGTATAAAAGCTTCACAGATGCCTCTCCACAAGGATATTCTATAAGTACAAATAGCTAAAGGGAGGGTGCCAAAAGGATGGAGCCAGGCTCTTCTTGATGGTGCCAAGCAATAGGACGAAAGACTACAGGCAGAAACTGATGCACAGGAAGTTCCATGAACATCAGGAAGAACTTATTTACCATGCAGGTGACCGCACACTGGAACAGGTTGCCCAGAGAGGTTGTGGAGTCTCCCTCATTGGAGATACTCAAGAACCATCTGGACGAAATCCTGTGCCATGTGCTCTAGGATGACCCTGCTTGAGCACGGAGGTTGGACCAGACGACCTACTGTGGTCCCTTCCAACCTGACCCATTCTGTAATTCTGTTATTCCCTCTCATTCCTTAGGCAGCCGTAGTTACACAAGCGTCCTTTCTCCTTGTACAGAAACAATAAGAGCATGCAAATCACTTTGGACTTCAGTGTCCTTCCCTCCTCTGGCCTTGGCACAGTACTCTGGCCCGGGGAGCAGGTGGGTGCTGCTGGGCCAGGAGGATGCTGGGCTGGAGAAGGTTGGTGAACTGAGCCTGCAGGATTTGTTTGTGGTCACTAGCAAAGAGAGGGTTATTTTGGCTCACCAAGTCATGCTTGTGGACAACAAGATATAGGTCTGGGAAGTGGCAGAAGAAATAATAACTATACATCCTGCTAGACAGGGGGAATATTGGTTGGGTTTCAGCTGAATCCAGTACAGTAGTGCATCCCCCCTCACAGGCTCAGACCACTGAGCAAAGACCTTACAGCCTAACTACTGTTGCCAAGGTAAGTATTTTAGAGTCATCACCCAGTGCTGCTCCCTCAGCTTTCAGGTTTAAAAATAATACAAGTTTGGAATAATTCTGCTTCCTTCTTTGTCCTCCCAGTGCATTTGGCTCACATTTTCTCTATGGACTGAAAACACCCTTTTTTAAAATAAGTGATGATATCCCCATTTAACTGCATGAATTCAGGACCCTGAATTTTAAGAAAAATGCCAACATGATTTACAATAAAGCATAAAAAAATAGTTCTGTTATAGATTGTGTGGCCTAAGGGTGAATGTCATACGTGAATGCCCATAAAACCTCAGCCATAGCTTACTGCTGCTCTTGGCTGTGCTTAAAAGAAGGGAGAAAAAAGAATGCCAGCTGGCAACTCTGGTAGTTGGAAGAGAAGCAACACCAAAATTGTTCTACCAAAATTATTCATTACCTCTTTCTCAAAATAAAAGAAGAAATGAGGAGAAAAGGTAGCCCTCAGAAAATACTGGATACTCAACTCTGTTTGCAGTGCAGATACCAGGATGATTACTAATAGATACAAGCAGGGAAGTTGGGACTGAGAAAAGAAGTAGAATTCAAGAGAAGTAAGGAACTAGGGGGCACGGGGATGATGAGAATTCAGCGCCAAAGATGGCGAGGTAGAGATGGGAGTCAGAGATGAAATGGGGAAGTATTCATGAAAAGAACTCTTTCTAGAGTTTGTTTAATGAAGTAAGGGAAATTTATGTCAGTGAGATCCATGTGCTGGCTTCCACTAGAGAAAGAACCAGCTCCGAAAGTCCCACTCAAAGTCTTAGCTGGGCTTTCTGCCCCTCTGCTCTGTGTTCCTCATGGCTTTCGACCACAACTTGCCATTCAGCTTCCCTGATTTTGTGTTTGCACTCAAAATCTGGCTCATTGTTCTCATTGCATATCTACCTGCTGAATTTGTGCACTGTCCCACTTCACAGTCCCTTACATACACTACCAAGTCCATATGCCAGGGAATGAGTTACACAGAGAGTCAGAGTGGAGAGATACAACCCACTATTTACTGACAGCAAGCTTAAAAGCAGAGACCATTTAGTCCCTACTGAGGTGTTACGCTTGCCTTTTTTGTGGAAGAGTGTTCCAGCCAGGGAAACTGAGGTCTGAAAGGTCTTACAAAAGGCACAAAGAATGAACGTGGCAAATGGGCAGCAATAATGCTCTCATGCTTCAGAAGAAGAAAGTATACTCTTGGATGAGAAAAGAAGAAATAAGGAATGCTAAAGAGAGGCAACACAGGGAGAATATTTTAATTGTTATTATCAATCATGTCATTACCGAAATAGGAATTTCCAGGATTCTCTTCATTCAATGCTGTCCAATAATACATTAATAATTGATCAGTGGGAATGTATCTGCGGTGCTCTAAAAATATAATTAAGGTAAGGTCAGAGAGAAAGTTAGTATCTTGTGTTAAGCTCTGTCATGCTACTGGGAAGCAAAAAACAGCTAAACTTGCATGCACACAAGTCTTTTTTCACACTGCAAAATCTGTCTGTTTAATCAGTTGGTGTGATAAAGATAAAATGCTTCTAACTACAGACTCAGACCTCTGAGTAAGGAAGATAAGCAAAAGTGACTGAAATGCTGTACCTAGGTAGTATCACTGAGAAAAAAACACTGTCGGGTATCCAGTTACCTCATTCCACCTATAAATTCTTTAAAGATTAATAATTATGTATCTTTATTACTCACCATGAATAGTTAATGAACAATATGTAATATATTAAGCTATAACATTTGTTAATCTTTAGTAACTTAAAACATGAAGAGGTATAATCAGGTGTAAGATTCTCTCCTTTTAATAACAATTTTAAATCTTTAAATTCTTTCTTGACTGGAATTTAGTTACTTAGTTGTGGTAACTTTTGTATATTTAGAATTCAATTCTATTTACTACATTCAGAAATTAGTTGAAACTCAGAAAACAGCAAACTTATTAAACTATTGGTGCTATATAAGTAGTGAGAACAATCAATTTTTTAAAAGAATCAGCATCTTATACTTCTGCAAGCATGTTCAAGGGTCAGAAGGGCAGTTACTGTGTGCCAGAAAAGGAAAAAACATTCTAAAAATTCATTAGATCAAGATATAAATCAGATCAACTTAATTAAAAAACCCAGTCCTAATCAGACGCATCTGTATCATTCCCCCTGGTTTTGTTCTTTCAGGAAGTTAAACTATTAGTTAAGCTGGCAGAGCAATAAGATTTTCTGCTGACAGCTTTGTGTCAACGCTGCCTCGTGCAGACCAGTTAAGAGTTTTTCAAAGGCAGCAACACTTTCTTTGATGTTCATGTGCCCTTTCATACAAGCTGCAGTGTCAACACTCGGCTATGATAGATTGTGAGGTTGGCTAAGTAGGAAGAAACTGCTTTGCTGCCATGTGTTGTACATATGGTATCATCGGACTTCTTGGGACAATGACCCTTTTCTGGGTGTAACACTGTAAACCAATGTGAGACAACATCAAGAATGGAGAAATAAAGTCCTAATGTTTGTCTGTCCACATAATTTTCTCTAAGGGTTGCTTTAGTTCTGTAGTTGCTAATTAAAAAAAAAACCCAAACAAACAAATCAGATCAGAGCAACCAAATGGGGTAGTTGTTCAATGCATTTGGTGCTTGAACTATAATGAAGAGATAAAACACTAATATTGTCTCTTGTACTGACTACTTCTTTTAAAACTGAATAGAACAGCCACATCACAGACAACTGCCTAAGGTACCAGCATGTTATACTTGGCTAACAGCCTTGGTCATGCCTGAAGTTCATGGAATTACTCAGGGCAAGCAGTCAACCTGCCTTGCAGTGCCCTGTGCAACACCCTGGGCTGTGCAGACATTACACTGATTTATCCAAGGTGTCAACAGAGTCATGTTTTCAGCCCATTCCACTGTATGAGTGGCAGCAGAGCCAGCAAGTAGTTGGAATATTGTGTTGTGCTGAACTTTGAGCCTGAAATAACCAAAATAACTTGAAGTGCTGCTGAGTCATGGTTGCACTTACGCATTATTCAGCCTTCCTTTACCCATCTTTTATCTGTAACTTTAGAAATTTTCTTTTTTACTATTTTATTTTTTTTCAAGACAAGAAAGGGTAAAATAAAATCGGATGCTGTCCTAAGCTATCTCCAAGCACCAGGCCCATATCTGTGTGGGAATGCTGTGATCTCCCATGGCTGCCAAAATATTTGTGTGGAATTTAAGAAATTTTTTTTTTGATCTTCAGACCCATAATTGTGTAGCAGTCTTGTTAAATAGTCAACAGTGGAAAGAAATTAGTAAAAGGGTGATAGAAGGGCTTTAGAACTTGATCTCCTCTTTTGAATCCCTTCTGTTCTTTTAAAATTAATGAGTAAGACTAAATTAGACCCCTCTAACTAGTGACAATAGCCTCATTCTGGTATCTGATACCAATTTAGGCAGTATTTCTGCAGTACCAAACTTGGTAATTATGTCAACAGTCTCCTAACACTTGCTGCTTGCACATGGGGATCTATGCCCAACACTGGCAGGGTGACCTTAAAAGCATTCTGCA